TGCATAATTTAGACGACAATTTATTCATCGCATCATCTATCTATCTATCTATCTATCTATCTATATATATATATATATATATATATATGTAAGCAAATATATGGATATAGATCCGACAGTATGAAGAAAAATATACTGAACAAAAATCCTAATATGCGATTATGCTGTTTTAATGTTTAATGTCAACGTCGGATGTTTCGGTCTAATAGACCATCCTCAGGACATATTCATAAAAAATTGAATTGTATATGGTCTATTCATATATATATATATATATATATATATATATATATATATATATATGTAGGAAAATCTGAAGGGCCCTTTCATTACAGAATTAATAATTATCGCAATCGAATTAAGTCGACTCCACATGAAAAATTATTATCTGTAGAACAACATTTCCGCCTGGAAAAACACGATTTTAAAACCCATGCCAAATTCACTATAATTGAGAGAATAGAAAAATTCAGAGCAGATAACATTAGAAAGATTTTAGAGTTCCATGAAAATAAGTGGATACAACGTCTAAAAACACAATATCCAGCCGGGCTAAACCATAAATTTAACAATATAGATAGTACTAATATATAACTCTACAAATCAAAACCTACCCACATTTCTCACGCACACAAGACAGACATGCTTACGGAGGTGTTGAGGCCTCACACTTATACACACACCCACACGAATATACACATTTACACACATCATGCTCACTCACTCCCTAATGAGCCAAATGATAACACACATCCATAGTAATATACACGCTTACACAGATCATACACACTCACTCCCTAAGAACCAAATAACACACGCACAAACACTTAACACAGACACATTCTCTCACCAGGACCAATAAAAATGTCAAACTGACCAGGGGAATTCAGAGAAGCATAGATCCATCTAGCTCTTATCTCAAATTACAACTTAAAAGAGACTGTTTGACCAACACAGGGAATCTTAAAAGATTCATGTTAAAAAGATAAAAAGATAAAAAACAAATGAAAACTACAGACAAAAGTTCATTTTCTCCATCAAGACATTCATTTCTGTAGTTCACTGCTACCAGCAAGCAGAAATATTTCTTCTGCTGATGATGGTCATTTTGGCCGAAACTAGTCGAGGAATCTAAATGAAAGAATAATAAAAAAAAACAAAAAAAAACGAAAGAATATTAATCTCCTAGTGTGTCTGAAGATTTTAATTTTTTAATTAATTTTTTAATATCTTTTTTAATATTTTTATTGTTCAATATATATATATATATATATATATATATATATATATATATATACAACTCATCCAACGCCTTATCTGCATTAAAGAAGGAAATAGTCTTTAAGGTGAATATTATTAAAGACAACAGATATTTTGTGTCGATTAATTTTAATGGTTAACTTTTTCAAATTACGAATAATCGTTTTCAGACAAGGAGGAAATTTCGTCAGAAATTTTGGAATAAATGTACAGTAAATATGTTCCAACCAATGATTTCATAAGTCATCATCACAGTAGCTAGAGACAATTGGCGATTCTCGCTGAACTAGAGTTTTGTGACGTAAGCAAAAAGTGTTGTGACGTAAACGACCTGTGAGTAAACGTTGTCGGTGTTGGCGTTATCCACCTGATAATCAGATGATGCGACATTGTGCTTAACTCACCCTCCCTGTTTTCCGGATTTGGATATTATCTGTTCCCAAAATAAAAAAAAACAAAAAAAAACACACTTGACTGAGAACCACTATATTAGTGATGTTGACGTCATATCTCCTGTTGGTAGTCAGCCTTTTAACTTTTCAGCCTGCCCTCGAACCCGAAAAGAAAAAATGCAGTTATTAATAAGAGTTAGAAGGCAAGATGTCACAGTTCTAGCACTACTCCTTCATAGTCCGTCTATGAGCGATTCAGCCTACTCTCAAAATGACTTTCGTAGCCATCGCTCTCTTGGAAGACTATTGAGTCTACTAGTGTTAAATAATTGTTTAGCAGACTATTATTTTTAGGTAGAACTATATCTCTGCTCTGACTTCCTGAGGTCGACTTTAGGGGTCAGATACAGGACAAAATAGGAAAGTCCATTTTTATTGGCTGAGCTAGCGTGGGGACGATAGATAGAGAAATGTTTTCAACAAATTGTTTCTTAACCGTCACACTGTTGGAATTTTTGAGTACCCTGGTGTACTAGTGAGCCAGCCAAAATGAGCTGACTCATTTTATAGCTCACCAATAGGAGGGTTAACCAATCAGAAGGCTCAAAATATTCAATGCAACGTGTATAAGGGCAGCCATTTTCCCCCGAATATTCACTGGCAGCCTTTGATATCGAAGACTGAAGAATTACGGAACAGCTGTTGGTGGTATTGGCGATATAGTCAGATTCAGTAGAGTGTCTGACTCGTGAGTGTTAATCTTTAACGTTGTTTCATTGAACAGATTACGTACTGCGCTGTATTCTATATTCATAGATTATGGTGAACATGGTCAACACAAACACTGT